CAGAACATCTTCGAGCCTCTCCACCAACATTTGCATGGTACCAGCACACCGCGGCTGTTATTGGTCGTGAGCGAGAGCGACGACGGCTGGATGAGCGATGGGCAGCAAAACGGGAAAGCTGTAGTTTCAGGGAGGCAAACTTCCCAGCCGCGGCCGAAACCCGCTTCACCAGGTGCTCGCTAACTGCCGGAGAGTGTGTTGAAATCTGGGCAATGGAGGGCGGCTGGGAACTCATCCGGTCCGTCATTTCAGCCAGCTGCGAGACCGTGAGATCCCGGGACCCGGATGCCAAAATCGTTTGGATATTAGCAGGTAGGCGCTCTAGAAACATCTACTTGAATAATTTGTCATCAATTTGCCTGTCTCTAAGGGGCGAGCGCGTTCGTCGGAGTAGTTCACTCAGCGATTTCTCCTTTATCAGCTGGGGGTAGCAATGACAGCCAGAGACCGTATCGAGTCAAAGAATTTCTGTTTTTAATTTTGAGTGGGGATTATCGGCCGGGGGCTTTGAAAAGGACTTGGCATGGGAAATACCACTAGGGGAAGAAATTCCGCAACTTTGTGGTATTTGACCAGTCCTTTTGCAATATTTGCCGAATAAAAGGTAGATTTGGCGCGGATGGACTGAGGCTCTGGCGCATTCTGCCAAAAGTCGGGAAGGGTTAAGCTAACGGCTTGAAGAAAATGAGCATTTTCATCATGTTGTTGGTCGGGGGGAGACATGAGGAAGATAATGTAAGCAGCAAAATATACAGAAAATTCGCAATAAATGTAAGTGTTAAACGTTATTCAGTATGACGGGACAAAGGAGTAAGGCATGTACAACGGTCGAGTCACCACTAAAGAAATTATGAAGACCTCACGAACTAATGAGGTAGATCTCACGACTTCTATGCAGAAATATCAGTAAAGCAATCCAAATGGGTCGAAAATAAATGATATTGAATAAACTTTAAACAACCTGACTACTGGTAAGCAAGCTTTCTGAAGTTGTAAGGCGGGCGTGTGTTCGTCACGTTAAAACGAAAAACAGTTCAGGCACGAAAATGTGAAAAGATTGTTAAAGGCAGTTTAGTCTATTTAGTCAGTACAGTATCGTTGGGGATGGTCATCAGGGGACGTAGGCGCTGACGATGGTGGCGAATTTATTACCCCGAAGAGGCAGGCAGAGACTCATCAGGCTATCACTGATGCCCTTCGACAAACAGGGTAGACGTTCCACGATGTCGGTCCGGATGGAAAAGACGACACCAGCCTCGCATCGTTCTGCCTGCAGGCGGCCACTCCAAAAGAAAGTGTAACCAACACACACCTCCTCCAGTTGACCTTGGTCGGAGAAACGGGGTTTCGTTGAGTGCGGTGATGTCGACCTTGAAGCGCACCAATTCCCGGGCGATTAGCGCTGTCCTCCGTTCTGGTCGGCTGTTCCTAGGACTGTCTGAGAGGGAGCGAACACTCCATGCTGCTAGTGTGATTGGCCTCACTCTAGCGGCCCGGAGGGTGTTCCGGGGGTAAAGGAGGGCGGGTAGGGTGGGGTTGGTGTTTGTTATTTCAATCCATTTTCATCTCAAATGACAGTTTTAGGAGTCAGTCATTCACTAATGCTAGTGCCTTTTCTGCCAGTAGTCATATCTGTTCTCTCCAATGTGCCTATAAACCGACGGCATTAGGCCCAGACATCCTCTGTCAGGCGTCGAAATGCTGCATATTGAGAAGAAGAAGAAGAAGAAGAAGAAGAAGAAGAAGAATACGACGACTCGATCGCTGGGACAATACTTTTATTCGCCTGAATTTTCGAGATCCGTCGCGGATTCACCATCAGAGACACAAGCAGAAAGCAATAGCAGATATGCTGTATATTATTTGCCCAATGCGGAATGGTCCTTGCAAAATAAACTAGTTACCGAGACCGGCAGACGGCTTCACACCTGCACGCAGATGCGCTAAGGATGGGCGCATTTTATTTGGCGGTGACATACTACACAGCATTCAGGCGCAGCGTCCAAAGTCCCAAACTGAGAGGGAGAGAGGGATAAAAGGTCAAGCGCGATCTGTAGGCGGGACATACTGTGAGGTGAAAAATAAGACATTAAAGTACGAGAAGGATGGAGATGTGGAGCGAATAGCAAGGCTCGTATAGGGGCCGCAGCAAGAATGAATGATTTGTGGTGGGCGGTGATGTTTCCTTAGGTAAGCAACGGTTTTCGCATAGACTCCAGCGGATATCACTAGACGGGATTCTGACCGAAAGGACTGCTACTTGCGGTCCTCTACGGCACTTACGCCCAGGGCTTTCCCTTAAGGGACATGGGGACGGCGCAGTGCTGGTCTCGCGGCCACAAGGTTCTGATGACATTTTAGTTAAGACAACAACCAGCATCACCCCTGAATGAACGGTCAGTAAAAACTTGTTTGCTACCTTAGAGGCACACATAGTGAACGATAGTGTAGATGACAGCTTTCAGCGTCGATTAAAGCGATCTTCCAACGACCTGGCGACATCCATTAATTTTCGCGAAGTGAGTTTGCGAAATAGACTTGTTAATCAAATTCGAGTAGCGCCTACAGCAAATAATTTTATTGAAAATGGGACGGTTTCGACATAACGTTTCAGATGAAGTGTGTGGCGAAACGAATTGTTTAGTTATTTACCTCAGCCTTTTCAATAATGTTTGCATTTCGTTGATCTTGCCAGCAAGTCGTACAGATTCGCTCTTAAACGTCTGCGTAAAGGTCCCTGTAGACTAGTTAGTTCAGCTGATGCCTGCAATAACTCCTTGTAGACCCCTCGTGGACAGCGGACGCAGTCGTCTAATTGATTCGTGCGTCTTTCCTCGCGGATCCAACATTTTTAGTTCGCTTCGCGGAGTTATTGCTTGAATCCTTATGCGGCGCATGGTTCTTGCGCTGAAAAGCTACTCTTCCTTTAGAAGCTGTAGCAAACATAAATTCCGTGGGTCGTAAAACATAAGCGAACATCGTCCCCACCGATGACCTTTGTAACCACATGCAAGACAGTGTGACCTAAAGCTCGCATGCCAATAAACAGTAGGTTAAAGATACCTGTCCAATGAACCATGCTGAATCAGTGGGAACCAAATCAATGCTTCATTTTTGGGGAACTAGGCCTTCAGAAGAAGAAGATGCGACCACTGGCTGCGACTGCACGGCTCCGATTATCCTACCATTACCTATGATTAAGGATTTCCGACGGAATCCGAAACGTCAGGAAAATAAAACTCTTTTTCCAGTGGTAGCATCTTCTTCTTCTGAACTAGGCCTTCTTGTGACCATTCTGCATCGAAGTAAGTTAACTCTCCACAAGAGGACCAAAATCGCGTGAACTTATCCTTACGTAGAGTTTTAGCAGCATCGCGTCTTTGCAAGCTGCCAGTAAGATAGGTTTGCTCTTACTGCACAATATCCTAGAAATCCGGTATGAGGGTGCGAGTTAAGATGGTTAAATCCAACCTTTGTGATGAGTATCCGGTAAAGATAACTATCTTATTGATGTGAATTCAGAATATTCCGGTGAACATGACAGACATTTGATGCAGGAGGACTTCTGACAGGTTGAACGGTGCACCATCGACGAACCGGTGCGTCTTAGAACTGGAAGATAAGTTCCAGCAAATTTGAAATTAATGAGAGTAGATGCAATCACAGCACCTCCAAATACTGCAAGTTATTCCAGTTCTCATTAAAGAAATTCAAATTGATCTATCCTGAATTCCAGACAGATGTGTAAGAAAAACCGAGGCCTCTATCTCCTGATATATTGGACATATTGATTCGTACCTCTACACTTGGCAAGCGAAATTCTGATTTCTGGACCCATCTAAATTTAATCATTCAGAGAGAACGCCGCATTCACTGCCGTATAGCCCAATACTAACCGGCCTTTTTACAATTTGTTGGAGGCGTAATATTCAAAGCTGCTGGCTCATGGACATTGCTGCTGAACTCATTTGCAGTTCGCGTTCTGGCGACCGAAAAAACGGAATTACTGTAAAAGAAGCACTTTGGCCGCAGACAGGACGGGTATTGAGCCCAGTGCACACGTTTAGTTTGGAGACCTTTCCACATGACCGGCGTAGAAATAGCCTTCCTTGTTCCGCCTAGGCAGTGATGCCCATGCAAAGCATGCTGACTTGCTACCTTTAATCCGACCGCTCACTTAATGCGGTCATGTCTTCTTTTAGTTACCCCCCCTCCCCTGCCCAAAGCTTCCGAGGGGCGTGCGCCAGTATAGCTGTCCTCTAACCGCGATCCATTATCCACGGGGACGTGCAGTTATGTGCACCGTGTTGCCAGGGTTGTTAAATCTATCAGCCGTCCGTTATCCGGGTTGAAGTGCCGTCCGGCGTGCCCAATGCGGGATGCTCTTAACATTTGGAGTTTCCAAGTTTCCCGTGCTTTCCCCCGTCGTTTGACTTCGTTATGCAACTTTCTACCACTGTTCGCTTACCTTCGGGTAAGTGGTATTGTACGTGCGCGCCGCATGATGGCCTTAAGACTGCCGTCCAACAAGCATCCTACTGCGAGTCAAGCTACCTCACCCCCTACACGGAAAGCCGTGTTTAACGGCGAAAACACATGCACAATTGATGAGGAAGCTAGAAAGGGAAGTGAGATTAAAAGATATAGTCTTGGGTAGTCTTGACTGAAATCCAACCCTCGACCTCCTCGTGGTGGGACGCGGGCAACGTGAGTATACTCACGGCTAACAGAGGGTAATGGCAGGTACCACTGGGGACGGTACCTGTAACAACATTCCCAAGAAACTTCATGGAAAATACGAATATCACGGATCTCAATACTGCAGCGGCGTCCCCGGGAAGCGACGCAAT